TAATGAAAATGTCACTCGATCACTTTTTTGGCTCTGAACTGCCTCCTGGGTATCATTGTGTTTTCACTGGAAACAATGGAGTAGAGACGGACAGACAGAATGCTGGGACGTTTCCCGTTCCTCCCTCGGTCTTCCTCTTCTTTGTGTAAAGCGGCTGCAGTCGCTGAACTCGCTGTCGGTTTGATCATGACAGATGCAATGGAAAGAGCTGGAAGGTTTTATAGGTTCAGATGTTAAACTTGGCGTTGATTGCGAGCGCTCTGTTTTCACAGCATTAGTGTTCCTCCACCAGACGCCTGTGCGGTAATTTAGAGCAGAAACTCATCATAAATACATTACATTGCATTAAATATGTCTGAAATCAAAGCCGCAGTAATGCTGCGTTCACGCCGTGTCACATTCACCATAATTATGAGTTTCCGACTTGTGAAAACTGTTCACGTCTTGTAATTACAAGTTGAATTTTATGAAAGAACACTGTATTGTCACATCAAAACTACTTCCGCAGTTGAGTTATGAAGCTCTGATCATGTGACCACCTCATGTCTTTGATTATGATTATGATGTCTGGTTAATGTGTGTATGTATATTTGTGAGTGTTACTGTCGTCCAAACTAAACCGCACATGAGTTTTTCATCTGATGATGTTCTACAGCTGCTGTAAAGTCTATCTCTGTCTGTCTCTGTCACAGAGGTGCTGATGAACACGAAGCTAGAAACATCTGATCTCAGATGGACCAGCTACCCCAGCAGTGACCCTGAGGTGAGACACACACACACACACACACACCTACATGAACTCACGTGACTGTCAAAAGCATTCCAGGTTAACATCCTCATGAAAAATACAAATAAATAAATAAAAACTACCAATAGCTGTGTTTATATGCACATCAGTATTTTGTAATAGTTTGATCAGCGTTTGATTTGATAAACTCGGAATTAGTGAGATGTAAACTCAGAATTAGTGAGATGCAAACTCGGAATTAGTGACATGCAAACTCGGAATTAGTGACATGCAAACTCGGAATTAGTGAGATGCAAACTCGGAATTAGTGACATGCAAACTCGGCATTAGTGACATGCAAACTCGGAATTAGTGAGATGCAAGCTCGGAATTAGTGAGATGCAAGCTCGGAATTAGTGAGATGCAAGCTCGGAATTAGTGAGATGCAAAGTCACAGTTTCTATTTTATATTTTTATCCCGAGGCAGAAACAGGCTTCCATGCAAACACCACAATCCAATAAGCTTAAAACAATGTTCAGATTCCCAGTCCTGGAATAAGCTTGTTTTAATGGGAAATCAGTTGCATATGTGATTGTCCAGACCGCAGGGACTTATGGGTGCTAACAGATACTGAGCTGTAGGTTAGGTGTTTAGGATCGTAAAGAGACAACCATGCTGATTATTTCATACAATTATTAAAGGAAATTAACTTTAACTACTGTTTTTGTTATCATGATTGTCTGCTGCTTTCCATTTGGTGTTGCTGGGTATTTTTTAGGGTGGAAGTCCTAATTAAATTACTGTGTAAAGTAGTATTTAAACTAATTACTGAGCACTAAACCAACGGCAGCATCTGGAATCTCTTGGGAAATAACAGCAGGAAATAAAACGCACAACAACCACAAATTCAGGAATATTCCCATGCCTGCACAGATCTGTGTCCCTGCAGCACAAAAGCAGTGTTAAGTCGCTGGGGGATATTTGTAGCAATAGCCAACAATACATTGTATGGGTCACAATTATACATTTCTCTTTTATGACAAAAATCATTAGGATATTAAGTAAAGATCATGTTCCATGAAGATATTTTGTAAATGTCTTACTGTAAATATATCAAAACTTAATGTTTGATTAGTAATATGCATTGCTAAGAACTTCATTTGAACAACTTTAAAGATGATTTTCTCAATATTTAGATTTTTTTGCACCCTCAGATTCCAGATTTACAAATATTGTGCTATCCTAACAAACCATACATCAATGGAGAGATTATTTATTCAGCTTATGTATACAGCAGATGATGTATACATCTTAATTTCACAAAATTGACCCTTATGACTGGTTTAGTGCTCCAGGGTCACATATAAACACTGTAATCAGAAGAAGGCTGGAACTGGATTATCCAGCAGAGCTGATGTGCATGTAAACGCCGACACTGTTTACATATTGATGACATCAAGTGATTATATTCTGGGGAAAGATGGTGATCTTAAAATCATGTGCAGTAGGACAGAGTCAGTCTGTCGTTAAGTTCTGTGTTGCACATGATGTTGATGAGCACCGGAGATAACTCCATGCTGTGAGCTCTGATGGTGTTTTAATGCTCATTGATGATGCTGATGTTTCTCAGTGGGAGGAGATGAGCGGTTTGGATGAGGAGGGCAACAGCGTCCGCACCTTTCAGATCTGTCCGATGGACACGGCAGTGAGTCACTGGCTGCGCACGCGCTTCATCCCGCGGCGCGGAGCGACTCAGGTGTATGTGGAGATCCGCTTCACCGTGATGGAGTGTTCGGCCATGCCTTCCAGCTTCCGCACCTGCAAAGAGACCTTCAACCTGTACTATTACCAGAGCGACGAGGACATAGCCAGCAGCACACACCCCGCCTGGATGGAGAACCCCTACAGCAAGGTACACACACTAACACACAGAGAGAGACATTTTAACAATTTATTTAAGTCCACTTAAGAGAAATAACTTACAAGGACGTAAATATTATAGATGCAGTTAGATACATGTACAAATTCATGGAGCAATGGCGTGCAACAGGTCTTCACAATATTAAGCATATCACTCAGTTGTAATGGGTATAAATAACAGCGTCTCCGCCATATATGACGGCTGCCTATGATAGAGGACAAAGCACAGTGCTTTGCTAGCCATTTAGCCCTCTTTTTGGACATCCCAAGTTGTTGAAGCCCTCTTACAACCAGCCACACACACACACACTCACAGAGACACACACTCACAGAGACACACACTCACAGAGACACACACTCACAGAGACACACACTCACAGAGACACACACTCACAGAGACACACACTCACAGAGACACACACTCACAGAGACACACACTCACAGAGACACACACTCACAGAGACACACACTCACAGAGACACACACTCACAGAGACACACACTCACAGAGACACACACTCACAGAGACACACACTCACAGAGACACACACTCACAGAGACACACACTCACAGAGACACACACTCACAGAGACACACACTCACAGAGACACACACTCACAGAGACACACACTCACAGAGACACACACTCACAGAGACACACACTCACAGAGACACACACTCACAGAGACACACACTCACAGAGACACACACTCACAGAGACACACACTCACAGAGACACACACTCACAGAGACACACACTCACAGAGACACACACTCACAGAGACACACACTCACAGAGACACACACTCACAGAGACACACACTCACAGAGACACACACTCACAGAGACACACACTCACAGAGACACACACTCACAGAGACACACACTCACAGAGACACACACTCACAGAGACACACACTCACAGACACACACACACACACAGAGACACACACACACACACACACACTCACAGAGACACACACACAGACACACACACAAACAGAGACACACACACACATTACACACACACAGACACACTCACAGACACACACGCAGACACTCACAGACACACACACACACACAGAGACACACACACACAGACACACACACACACACAC